CTTACGTTCTATCCGATCCCATGCAAAATAAACACACCACTTTGACTAGTCAAAACTAGTACGGCTCCTATCGTGGGAATGCAAAGTAACTACCACAAGCATGCGAAGAAATGAAGCCAACCCTAAAACGTCTGCGCCTATCCCTGTCGGCTTTGTCGCTGAGCATGATGTCGGCGAGAGACATGGAGAAGCTTGTGATTTTGAGAAAACGATCAGCCACGCGGGAGATACCGGAGAGGAGTTGAGAGGCGGCGTAAGGACCGTAGGCCTCGTAGAAACAGTGCACCATACCCCCCGAAGCCGAACCGATGTGCGCCTTGTCAAGGAGACCAGAGGCGAAATAGCCACCCACGATCACGAGGTCAACGTCGGAGAGGATGCGAGCGACAGCAAACGGTGCACCTGCCCACAGCTCCACTTTTGTACGCCTTCCCGCCAGGTAGGCGTTGAGTTGCGGCAGCCCCGCGGGCACGATATTCATAAGCAAGGTGGACACCACCTGGATAAGGGTGGAGCAGAAATTCACATAAACATCATGATGATGGCGTACCTCAGGAACGAGGACATTCAATTCCTTCGACAAATAAGTTAACGCCTTACACCAATTGTACATCGCCCATCGACACAGAAGCCCGACTACCTCCGAGTGTCAAATTACCACGCCTGAAGAGGTTTTTCCCCAACGATTCTGCACACTTGTGACAAGGAGTGTAAGTTCATCAAAAGGCGCTTCTTTAAATATAGGATTAGCATTAGCATGGTAAAAATTTAAACTAGCTGTACAAACAGCGACAGATACCAATGCACCCTTCATTAACTAAGAAGAAATTGCCCAAATAAATGGTGAGGTAGTGGTTGTTTCCGCGAACTCACTAGTTTATCATCCATCACAAAGGAGATTTCGACCATAAGTTAGAAACAATTTATGGACAATTCATTTGGCTCTGTTTGTGTGATCCAAAGGCGCTTCAAATAGGATTGGAGGTGAAAGTTCAACAGTGGAAATAGAATGTTACTTTGAATGACTTAACCTGTTTTCCGGTCCACAGACGACTGGGCTTGAGAATAGCTGGAGGTATGAGAATGGCATCGGGAACACAACTGTCCTCAGCGACGGAAGCGTAGAGACCGCTGTAGACAAGATCAAGGTACTCGTCCTCGTTGAAGAAACGATCACGAATAGTCAACTTCACTGCGGCAATGACGTGGTCCTGGATGAGACCGCCCAATGGGGAGCCATCTTTCGGCGCCAGGTACTGATAGGGCACGGCGGCTAGCATTTGCCAAAGACAATAATTGCGAACAACTTCCAATTAAAGGCACCAGTTTGATCAAGAGTGAGGACAAATAAAGGCAAATGTCTCCATCCAAAGCTAGACACTTCAATGGCAAATTAGGTCGTGGTGACTGTGCAAGAGCCTACCCAAATGTGCAATTTCGGCTTTGGCCTGATAAGTTTGGGGAAAATGCCCGTTCATTTCGTCACCGTCGAAGTCAGCATTGTAGGCCTTGCAGATAGCGTAGTGCAGACGCAGAGTCTTGGCGCCAAGAGCACGAATAGTGCGCACCCTGTGGGCCTGGATGGATGGCTTATGCAGGGTAGGCTGACGATTCATTACCAGAAAATCACCATCCTCCATGTGACGATGCACCTATTAAAATAGACATACCGCCATGGCACAAGGATAGTTGGAATCAACAGCGAAGCGCTTTTGCGATTTGCGACTTCTTACTCAGTGCAACACTCCACTTTGGCCTCCAAGGGCTCGTCACTAAAACGACTCGCCAAATATCTAATCTCTCAACCTGTGAGCGTCAACACTGACTTGCGTTCTTCGTAAACCACGCTTGTAGATGGGTTTGTCAATGTCAAGCAATGTCCAATGTTGATGGTGCCGCTGCTAGTCAAAGAATAAAACGCAGATTGTATTGGAGATTGACAATGAATGAGTTAGAACTCATGCAAATGATGAACTATTTTGACAGTTTGCTTCACTCCAAATTGAGTACGTTGGTAATTAAATCTGCGGACTGGGATAGGCCGAGCTAGACCTGACCGATAGCTTCTTGGCTCTCCTT